GAAAAAATGATTCACGCGTTTAAAATTTTATTAGCAAACACGTGCATACCACATCAACAAATGTGTTTATTTGATTTGGTTAATGGACACTTAAAGTATCTAAATGGTAAAGGGTTCAGTTGAGGTGTTTGTCTGATCGTTAGGGAAAACTTAAATGGGCTGCTTTATATACCAGTGCAATTCAAATGAACTGACGTCCCTTTTGCCCAGGGCCTACATCTCACGATACAGGTAATGATTTACAGGTTGACGATTCAGAGCGTTAGGATTCTCATACCAGCTAATATGTGAGCCCTAGTTCTTTCGGGGCATTATCATTACTTTACGGTCTTTCAGTATTTACAGACAGTCAGTGTCTTCAGTACTTCATTAGAGGCTTCATAGACTAGAGTAATGGTTAGACAGAGTTGCAGGCTTTTCATATTAAGCTATGTTGGCTACAAATATGTTTCAAAATTGTATTAGTATTTTCGCACTTTGATTTATATAATCCAGACTTTCAGTATATCAGCATGTGTTGGTTTATCTTCCGCATTCAGTATGTTATGATATCACGTGTTAATTCAGCCAGCCAGTTGGTTCACTCGGTCGCATGTAGTCAGGTACCGGGTGCCGTGTTACGTCTAGGCCCCGGGTCAGGGCGTGACAGGTCAGTTTTGAAGGGAAGGACATAAATTCTTAGGCAGCATGGAAGGTTTCAGATGACTAGGTAAATGATATTACTGTTTGGTATTGCTTGAGGAGAGTGTACATTTCAGAAGGCGCACTGTGTTCTGATTTATGGATACTTCATTGGTATTGCATCACTCTCCTGGTTGATCGACTTCCGATTTTCAGATATTGCTATGTGGCACGGAAGCATTTGAGAAGCATTCCTCGTGGGATGATCGTGTATGAGAGATGTGTTAGACAATCGAGCGATGGAGTTGGGATCAGATATGGTGATTCGTGTGTTCTACGGATTTGGAGACTTGGAGTTCTTAGGAGCAGATTGTTTCGTGGTTGTGGACTGTGAAAATATGGCCAAAGCTAGTCCGAGGATGGTATGTGTTATGGTGAGGTCATTGTGGACCTTCGGAGGGTTATTTATCTATTTGTGGATGACCAGAGTTGATTTGGAGCCCATTGGTAGGCTCAATTTGGATGTGCATTCTACACCGAGTCGGATTGGTTGGCTCCATACTACTATGGTTAAAGGATGTGACATTTGGTTGTTGTTGAGCTTATTTGTGTTCTAATATGATCTGTGAGTTACTCTTCTATGCTACAAGGAGTTGCGATTCATTTGTTATATGCACGTATGATGCGGTTCTATTAGGGCCTTATAGCGGAATTTGAGAGAGATGGGTATTTGGGTATTGCATGATTGATTGCGTATTGGTTATGTTCTTTCGGGTTTTGTGTGGAATTGTGTCATTTGCTTCCCCGTGGTTATAGTAATGCACTTTGGGTACTTGATGTCGAATTGTGCGTGGTTATTGGTTTTGAGCAGGGTGGCTTGAGGTATATAATATGGACAAGTGTTTGGATGGGGTCACGCATTGCAGTGGAGTTATGTTGAGATATGATCCTCTGTGTTAGATTCGTGCATCTTGGTTCTACTAGGTAAGATGGGTTCGTAGCATTTCGATTGTGGTTGTACTTGTTGATCTTGCGGGATGATTCTTTCATTTGAGACATTTTCCATGACTTAGTACATTTGGATTGTTGCTTATTGGTGCACGGATTGTACGAGTTGTGGTTTTAGATTGTATCGATGTGGCATGTCACTAGAGTAGTTGTGTTGGATGAGATGAGGTCATTGGACCTAGAATGGATACTATCGGATTTGATTATTGCATGTATGGAGGATAATATCGGAAGTCAGTTTAGAAATTAGCTATAGTTCTAGTCGAATGAGGGAGAGTTCAATGGCTTGTTGGTGTAAAAAGTGCTTACCAGTTTCTGCGTGTTTCTTTCATCATTGGCAGTGTACAAAGGTTCAAACAAGATTTCAGTTGATATGAGGTTTGTTATCGGTGTCGAGTTAGTTATCGAGCAGCTATTGCGGTCGGAAGTTATCGTTATGAGTATTTGAGTTGTGTGGTATATCCTGTGATTGTTTGTTGGGTCGTGGTTATGGTTTGATACAGCTTGTTCAGACATATACAGTGTGTATATGCAAAGTTCGAGTCTTGTAGTAATTTCGAATGTTGGAAATTAGATACTGTGGTTTACGGACTAAGGACGGAGTAATGATATTCAGTTGTGTGGTGTTGTCGGGAGTAGTTGAAATAGGGTGACGTGGGATCACCCCCGGGTATGTGCATGGTAAGGTGACACCGACTTAGGAAAACTCTTGGCACGCGAGGACGAACGCATGTTTAAGTGGGGGAGAATGTAACGACCCGATAGATCGTTTTGAGCATTTGCACTTCACTCGGTAGTTTGGGGGCACGATTAGATCTGTATGATGTATTAGTACTTTTGTGCAATATTTGAGTTCATTCCGAGTTGATTTGATATGTTTTGGCTCGAGTTTTTGGAAGTCGAAAGTTCATTAAGTTTGATTAGAGGTGCGTTTTGTTATTTCGATGTTGTTATGTGTGATTTGAGGCCTCGAGTAAGTCTGTGTTATGTTATGAGACTTGTTGGTATGTTCGTACGCGGTCCCGGGGGGCTCAGGTGAGTTTCCGATAGGTTTGGGTTGTGTTGCGCTCGTTTTTCTTATGTTTCGACGTCGTTTCAACAAGCATAAATGGTACCACAATAAACAAATGAGCTCCGATTTCTATTTCGATTGAAGCATTAGCCGTATCGTAATTACGGAATCATAGCAAAAACAATCGTCAAAATTGGACTTCGTATGAGGATTTTATGGTCATTTTACTAAGAATAGGGTTGCTAGATTTGTCAGATTAATTACGAAATTGCCACTGACTTCGTATATAAAAATCTGCACTATTTTCAAATATTGAAACTAACAAATCTCCTTCAGTATAAGGTCAAATGGAGTGATTCAAAAGCCTGACTTGAATGAAATTTCACAAGGAATCTATTGGAGGCATTAAAAGCATGTTTTGGGATTGTTTGGCATGCAAAACGAGGCAGAGTATCTTGGCAAAAATACTTAATATCGAAGGTTTGTTCATTTGGTTATATTTTGAGTTGGGGAGCTCGGATTTGGAAAAATTTTGGAGGCAATTTTTACCATATGGATTGGGGTAAGTGTTCTATACTCGATTTTGGTTATATTTCATGAATCCATCTTCGTTTTTTGCATTTGATTGATGATTTTAAAGTGAAATTTTGGAGTTTTGTCTAAAATTTCATAAAATGAATTTTTTGAGTTTTGAACATTGATTCGGAGTCGGATTTGAGTGAAGCTAGTATGGTTGGACTCATAATTGAATGGTTTATCAGATTTTATGTTTTTGTCGGGTTCCAAGGCGCGAGCCCGAGTTTGACGTTTTGCTCGATTTTGGGATTTTGATTAAAGATTCGACCTTTATCGATTGAGTTTGTTTCCTTTGGCATTACTTGAAGTGTTTGAGTTTCTTTTGGCTAGCTTCGAGCCGTTCGGAGGTCTGTATGCGCGGGGTGGCATTTTTGGAGCATCCTTGGCTTGCTCGGTATTGAAATTGGCTTGTTCGAGGTAAGTAACACTTCTAAATTTGGTGTTGAGGGTATGAAACCCCGAATTACGTGTTATGTGTTTGGTGTTGAGGTGACACACATGCTAGGTGACGGGCGTGTGGGCGTGCACCGTGTGAATTGTAACTCTGCTATTTCTATGGTACCGTGTAGTTACATGATCTTACCTGTAACCATGAAATTTCTACGTAAGCTATTGAGTTGTGATCCATGTTAAAAACCATGTCTAGGCTACATGCTTATGCTGTTAGGACCCACTAAGGTTATTTTCGTTTTTGAGTTATCTGCTTTCATTGATTTATATACTCAGTCATAGACATTCCTATGCATATCATATCTCAGTATTTGTTACCATTTATATACACAATATATTATTATTTTGGGCTAGTTTCATGGCATTTTGAGCTCGAGAGACTAGAGAGATTGATGACTAAGTGAAGCCGAGGGCCTGATTATGAGTCACATTTATGGAATCGGGCTGCACGTCTCAGTGGTTATACTGATTTATGATAGCGCTTGGGCTAAAGGAGCCCTTACAGAGTCTGCACACACACACCCAGTGAGCGCGATTGATTATATTGAGGGATGGATCTTCCCTAGACATGGATATTGTTCGAAGCATTTATATACCCGGGGATGGATCTTTCCGACAGGCTGGATTTGGCCCTACTTAGTACCGAGTGACTGATGTTCAGTTGATGTATATATTCCGAGATGGATCTTCCCTGGGCAGGATTGGCCATATATAGTATTGAGTGATTGAGCATGATCACTGAAAAGTGTGAGACAGTGAGATTGAGTACTCTGAAAGGTGAGTAAATAAGTTCATCTCTGAGATGCATTGCATTGACATGCACACATCACATACAGGCATAGAGATGCATTTTCCTCATGTTGTACGGAATCACGTGATTCATGACTTCTCACACATATTAACATATGGGCATATAGAGGTATTTTACACTTGCCATCTGGAAAGAAAATGAAACATCTTATTTATTGTTGAAAGGATTTTTGGGAAAAATTACAGTTTTCAAACTTACTCGTATTTTCTACGATTTCGGTAAAGGATTTGGGTTTTCTCTGATATACTTGAAAAGCGGAACTATTTTTTGGGAAACTATGAAAAAGCTGAGTATTTTATCTCAGAATTACTTCTTTTATTACTCGCGTTACATTGTTACATTACAAGAAACTTGGCTTTTAACGATCATTTTTTAACGAAGGGATGTGAATCCCGTCGTTATTAGTACATTTTTAGCGACCATAAATATTTCCAGTCGTTAATAATGCTTTTTTAATTCTACAATTACAAAAGGATAGTATCCGACTCATTAATATTAAAGATATCCGGTCGTCAATGGGTATTAAGATTTGGGAGGCATATCCAAAATAAAAAAGCGCCAGCACTCTCCACTAAGTTTTCAGTTCTTTTCTTTCACGCTATTCAAAGAACCCTAAGCCCCAAATTTCAAAATAAGGATGGCACAGACTCTCCGCTACCACCACTTTGTTGTCCTCCCTCTCCAATTGGTACTCGGTCTCTCTCTCTCTCAGTGTGAAATGTGCTTAACTGAAGTCAAAATTTTACTTTGATTTCAATTCAGTTGATTCCTAAGGTTTTCACTGTTATAAATTAGTATTTTGTTCAATTTAGGATTCACGATAGAAGAAATATTATTTTTTAAGATATAGAACCTCCAATACATTTCATTTTTTTCGAGGCAACCTAGAAAGATGACAACAAAAACAACATTTGAGTCCATGATTTTCATATATGCAGAACGAAAACCGAAGGAATATAAGTAGATGTTATAATTTTTCTTTTCAATGTCGATGATAGCAGAGAGAGGACAGGGACTTCTAAAACCCCATTCACTGTTTTCACTGTTAACAGACAATAAATACTTCTAAAACCCCATTCACTGTACACCAACAGTAAATTCTATTGACCATACTTCTGAAACTCCCACTCGTTGTTATCATGTGATAGAAGAAATATAGATAATTTAGAATTGTTGGGAAAGGATGTTATTGAGTGTTAACATTGCAGAAACATTGATCCTTACTTCACCCTGCACACTGTAAAGGTTTTATTGTGAACAATTGAATATGCAGATGTGTATACAGATAGATTCATGTTTAATTCCTTTGTAGAACCTTATCTAATGTGATTATTAATGGTGCCCACTTTCTGTGTAATATAAATGGAGTGATATTTTGTGCAGTAGCAGGAAATTAGGATGTTAGATTGGTAAATTCATGTGTTTTAGGATGTTTTGAAACACCAGAAGACCAAAGATTGATGGATTATCATTGGTGATTTTTTTTCTTTGGTATCAAGTTAATTTTTTTCAAGACCAAAGAACTGCTTACCCTGCACTATGTGTTGTCCTTTCTCTTTATTTTTTTATTGGTTTTTTATTTGAAAAAGGCCTATATTTGTATTTCTAGTTGCTACTCGCTTCTCTGATAATAAGTTTGGTTGATTTGAGTTGTTCTGTGGTTAAGAGTGGTAACCACAATTGAAAAAAGCCTAAATTTGTATGTCTAATTGCTACTCGCTTTCTTTGATAATAATTTGGTTGATTTTAGTTGTCTGTGGTTAAGATGATACCTGAACAAAACCATTGATTTGCCAGCTTTTAGTAATGCGGTTATGTGTTGGAAAACTGAGGAGCGTAGAACATAGTGAAGAAGCAAAGTGGCAAAATAAGATTAAAAGAACATTGTTTCTACAACATCACAGAGAGGTTGTATTCTTGGAATCTTTCTGATATTCCTTATATGTGTTGCCTTACTGTATCAGTAAATTGTTAGACACACCTTTATTTTTCATTTTCCTGGTAGGTGCTTGACAAAATGCTTCAATGATTCGAGCTTTCATTCGGGAAGAGTTTGAAAAAATCTGACAAAACAGGTATCCGCTCTTTCTCTGCCCAACAAAATTAGTTGAAAACATTGTGCCTTACGGCTAAAATTTCAAATACAGGGACTTAAAAAACAGGCATAGAAGGCATAGTTCAAAACTCTGTACCTTACCATTCAAATGTTACCTGCACAAACCTAAAGAAATAAATACAAAAGTTGTTAAAAGATTAAGATACCTTTGTGATGCTGACGACAACTCGGGCGAATTAATAGCTAGACAACAAATTCAATATTGGACTTAGGTCCCCAACTCCTTATTTGGGACATAAACTGACTTTTGTTGTATTCAGGTCAGGTTATTTCATATTGTTCCTTGAAAGAGTTTGTCAATTACTCTTGTTTTCTTAATTCACTTCTTTTCATGTAATCACAATTTTATTTATATATATTAACTTGCTCTTCTTTTTGAATAATGTCTAGCTAGAACTTTTACAAGCATGTTACTAATTGTTTCTTGGTTTCTGCATTCTATTTGTTTCTTGTATTTGTTACTAAAATGATTTTGCATTCTTGAGAAAAAATTGCATTTGCTTGTGGTTGTTGCCTGTTGACAATATCTGCTGTCCAGAATTAGCTGCTCCCTTACCATAAGATTCCATCGATTGGGAAGGGACCTCACTGACGGAGGTATTCAACGTAACCAATGGTGCCTTGATTTTGAGTTGTGTTTTTTTGCATCGTTGTTTGAGCATCCTTTACCATTTTGGCCAGATCTGAATTGGATATGTGTAACGCTGGTGAGGCTGCATTAGGTACTGCCCCAGCCTTTTGCTCGTCTGCCAGAAAAAGTGCAAGATCCTTTGATACTTCTGCGAGGCTGCTATTTATAGCATTTTGCCGAACGCCCAAAACCTTAGCCAAATTGTCGTTGCTTCGATCTCCCCTGTTATTGTTGGAATCTGGTACTATTTGCTGGTTAAAAGAACCAGCTTTTGAAATAATCAGTGAAGCACATGTAGCTTTTGAATTCTGCTTCTGTTTTGCACTACTTGGCGTGTTGAAATGACTGGTTTTTGAGGATGCCTCACATTGAAGTTGTTGCACCCTCTTTCTAGCATCAACGACCACTGTTCCATCCAGCATATTCGAACAAGTCAACTGATTACAAGTAACATGTTGATCCTTTGCTTTTCCTTGGTCATTAGAAGATTGGCCTACACATTCAGCACCTGTTTCAATTTGGACATCATGTAAAGCTGCAAAAGATGTTTGGATTGCTACTGCATTGTGAGTCCAACAACATCAATCTCCTTAGTTAAAATTTTCTCTTACATTCTACTCTCTAAGGAGTTGGTTTTTCCATTGATTAACGTTGCCTCATCTTCCCCCTGTTGCACCTTGTTCCCAGCCTCCTTCACATCATGGTCACGCTCAACCACCAAAGCATCAAAAGTTGCCCCTGCCTTGATATCACCAACTATGACAGAGTCTTTTACCACCTTATCTGGTAAATCGGAAATGTTCAAGCGCTGCTGCTTTTTTGCATTGTCTGGTGTCTTTGAATGACAGGATTTTGAGGCTGCCTCAAATTCAATCTGCTGCACTCTCTTCCCAACGTCATCTATAGCAGATTCATTCACCAAAGCAGCAAAGGAGTTAGAGATACTAAGTACCTTTGGTGCGTTTCCCAGATTTGTACCAACTGGAGTGTTATTATTTCTCAGAGAGGGACTTGTTCGACCACCAGTTTTCTTTGACGTCTGCTGTTGTTTTGCGCTGACTTGGAAGTCAGAGGCTATCAAACCTGCTTTTGTTTCAACTACAGCAGCTGGTTTAACACTCCTATGTACAGCTCGATCAGCAAAACAATTCAATGCAATAGTATCAACCAATTTCGAACCAGTAGTGACTGGTTCTTTTCCAACTTTTTCAATATGTTTGCCCTTAACAACTGGAGCAGGCTCCTCCTTAGAAATTTACCCATATCCTTTAGTACTAACCTCAGCTTCAACATCAGCAGTTTTTTCTGCTTTAGCTGCATCAGCCATACTTGAAAAATGAATCACTTGCCCTGCCTTTGCATTAACTGTTTGATGCCCAGTTTTATCAGATTGTTGCCCTGAACCTGACCCCTTAGCATCCACAGCTGAGAAAGGAACCAAAAAAGTAAAACTTTCCAGTTGTTGCTCCTCATTTTGCACAGCAGTACCAATCATTTCTGCTTGTTTTTCAACTGCAACATTAGCCTTAGTAACCCCAGTTGATACTCGATCACTCATAGAATCGATATATGTTCAAAGTTTATGTGGTTTTATTTAGATGGATTTTAATTGGAGAAACATGGTTAGTAAGGATTCATAAGCCGACCTGAACTTGTTTCGGACCGAGGCAGTGTAGCTATTATTGTATGTAGGTTAAATTAAAGTTAATTACTGTATGCGAGTGTAATGATGTTTTATTGCATTTTCTGGTTAATAATGTTAATAATGTGCTGGAATATGTCGAATAATGCAGTGGTTCACCAATCCATGAAGTGTCTGATATGCTTATAGGTATTTTGGGAGGAGGGAAGCTGGATCGTATATTGTGTCAAACAGCATCCCAAATAGCATGCAAAGTGATTTGTTTGGACCCGATGGAGAATTGCCCGGCAAGTGCATTAGTACGTGATTATGTGGTGAGAAGCTATGATGATAGTGTTTCCGTTAAAGAATTTGGAAAAAAGTTTGTTTTTGGTCAAATATATGTTTGTTGTTTTGACTATTCTACAAGTTAATTTGAATGTTAAAGTTACATGCGGAGTTCTAACGATTGATATCGAGCGGGTTGATGTCGCTACACTTGAGAAGCTTGAATGTCAAGGTGTGGATTGTGAACCTAAAGCCTCTACTATTCGTATAATCCAGGTTAGTCTTTATATTCTGTAAATTTGGATGAAACAACAATTTTTGCTTGCAGTGTTTTTAATTTTTAACTATTCAATTTTCTTACTCCTAGGGTTATCAATCTTTGTTTGGTTCCATTATTGTACTTTGTAACAGGATAAATATCTTCAGAAGATCCACTTTTCTCAACATACAATTATACATCCAAGATTATGCAGGTAGGCTTATAAAACTACTGTACTAAATTTTCTTCCCCTTCTAATACATTTTCAATATTTTTCTTTCTACTGATGGAAACAAATGCTTAAAACAGATTGATAATCTTGTAAGTGCTAAACGAGCAGGGGATATCTGTTTGGTTATCCTCTGATGATAAAGAACAGGAGGATGGCGTGTGATGGGCATGGCAATGCTGTAGCAAACAGTGAGGAGGAGCTCTCTTCTGCAATTTATGGTAATACGTCTATAATTATGTAATGATCAAGATGTACAAATTGACTCTTTTAGGTATTATGTATTTTTTTTTTTTTGCCAAACATTTGATGTTATTGCTTCATCATGCATATTTTGCAAAAAAAAATTTACGTGATTGCTTTTTTAGTGTCTACCACAGGTATCATGGTGTGCTACAGGTTTGGAATAGTTTACTTAAGGTACATATAGCTGATGCAATCAACTAAAAGTTGCAACTTGAGAAACTGACCAATCAAATTAAAGAAAATTGATTTCATTGGCCGTAATACTATGAGATCTGACAGAGTAAGTCAACTGCTGAAATCGAACTTCTGCATCTTTGGGTATGATGGAATACATTTTTTCTAGTAATGTGACATGACTTCTTCTTTTAACAGATCAAGTCAAGAACTTGAAGTCCGAAGAACCTATTCTTGAAGAATGCGCAAAGCAAGTTGAAGCATAATATGGTTTTTATTCTGTTAGCAGTGGTTTAAAGATGTTATCATTTGTACATCGTGCTACAGTTCTACTATCTATTTTTAGGAGTTAATAAAAGTAGTATCATGCAATTTGGATAGGTATTTTAATTTATAGACAGTGTGATCCTTCCGTTCTTTATAATGACAATGAAATTTTATAGGGTATGAGTTATGATTATTTGAGGTATTTTTAAATGTGTGGTTGTTGTATATATGTGTGTGAGAAAGCATATGGTAATGATTATTATTGAATAATTACCGGAAAAATATAAATTGGTTTAATTGTATTTATTCAAATTTCACTTCAGCCAAGGGAAATGTGGTCTTTAAAACTCTTTAACAACATGATTATCAAATGGTTACATATGCATTAGCGAAGGGAAATTTTGCAATTTGCGAAAGGAACACCGGCCGCTCAATAGTAATAACGACGGGAAGCATTTGGTCGTTAAAGGAATTTAACGATTGGATTCTAGTCCGGTCGTTAACCTTTAACGACGGAGCCTTTAGCGACCGGCGACGACCGGATTTTGTTCGGTCGTTATTGACATATTGCGACTGGATTTGAACTTTAACGACTGGATTTCCCTTCGCTAAAAGCCATTTTACTTGTAGTGTTATGAACTGTTGTTGGATATTGGTGTTGGACCCGACCTTTCTTACAGCTCCTCACTACTTTCAACCTAAGGTTAGATTTGTTACTTATTGAGTACATGACGTCGGTTATACTCATACTACACTTCTCCACCTTGCGTGCAGATGTTGGATGCTGATGTTGTTGTGATCGGCGGGAGATGGAATTGAAGACGTACCTGAGATCCGGTTGTAGTTGCCTCTTGTTCATGGTAGCCTTATATTCATAAAAATCTATTTATGTACATTTCAAACAGATGATGTATTTATTTTATACCAGCCTCTTAAATTCTAATCTTAGAACCTCATGATATGTATTACCAGTCCTTGGGGAATGTATCAGATTCAAATATTTTCTTTTATTTAATTGTCTTATTAATTTTATTGGAATTGGTTAGTTGTTAATTGGCGTATCTAGCGAGTTGGGTTAGGTGCCATCACGAATAGTTGGATTTTGAGTCATGACACTACATAATAAGAAAAATTGAAATATTTATAGGTATAAGAAATATATATATGTGAGAACAACAGGCCAAACTAACTAGATCCTTCCTCTCTATCTCTTTTCCCTTTCTCTTAAATTTTTCAACGTCCTAACAATGGAGTTTGACTTTTCTGCAAAAAATAATGAAGCAGCAGTAGACTTCACCGTAAAAATTAAGAAAGAATCAATTGTTCAGCTGAATTTCATTGATTTTGGTACTTTACAAGCTGGTTCGAAAGATTATTTTTTTTCGAATTAACATAAATCTAAAATTGCATGTAGTATAGTCCTAATGGTATTGTTTTAGCGAAGATCTTTTTGAAGCGAGTGTAGTTGATTCGGTTTTTAATAGGATGGTTGGACGGTACTTGTAGAAAAATTACTATTTATATATGGTATTTATATATTAATTTGTATAAAAGTGATATAGACATTGTTATACAATGTATAAAAATTGTTTATGCATTATATCCTGAGTTTGGTCGTGTATTATTTGTGTATATTTAGTGCATCTCGAGTTTTTTATGTATCTAGAGTGTATATGGAGCGTATCCCGAGTGTGTTTCTATGTGCTGACTTTTGTAGTATATCCAGAGTGTATACTTGATAATTGAGGTATACTCAATGTATTTTATATAGACAATGAAGTTATAATGCATTGTGTATAACCAATTATACTTTATGTTAATGCAGCTTTTTAATGTATATCATAGCATGCATGAAATGCACATCTCTCTCACACGCGTAATCTCGCTATCTTTTTTTCTTTTTATTTCATAAATGGATTTTTAAAGTGTGTTTTTTTTTTTCTGAAAAGTATTTTATTTTTAAAGTTCATCAGTTTTTTAAATTCTGTTGGACATTGCTCTATTTTTTACAAATAGTATCTATGAACGTGCGCTGCACGTTAATAATGACACATAATGATTTAAATATTTATTTATATGAAGGAACAAAAAAATTTAATTAGTGAGTGAATTTTATGAATAATATGCAACAATCATCTAAATGCCAAAAAATATTATTACATTAGCATAATACATGAATTTAAAAGAAAATGACATCATCAAAACTTACATAAATGATCAATTTTGTTATGTTAGTTAGATAATTATGTATTATATTAAAGTATTTAATGTGATGTTATCTTAACGAACACTTCTTTAATTTGTGGATAAAATTTTTTTGTGTATGTTTCCTCCTAATGCTTTGGTTGCTCTGCCTTAACCAAAACTCTTGTTGTCGATCTTGATATCCTTCTTGAAAGTGCAACATACAGTTATTCTTGCAAGAAAACATATTGCGGCAAATGTAGTCCAATATTTAGGATGTTGTCCTTGTGCTTTATTTATTGTAATTATATTTGGAAAGCATAAACATACTAAAAATTATTTTCACACAAATTTAAAAGGATATTCCTTAGTTTCGGAAGACGAAAGTTGAATTCAGGGATAAGAATATACTCATAAGCACGTTGACCAATATCATAATTTTTGCATGTATGACGTTATTGTGAAAACTTCTATATACCATCTATGCTATTACATAAGCTATTAGACGTATCTAAGTTTTTCAGTAGCATGGCATGCATATTTTTCTTCAAAATTAACCTATATACACTGGAAGATCAATTTTAACTTAGTCTATTATATATACTGTGACACTAACATATGTAAGAAATAATAAACTTGACAACAAACATGTATAGTAGAAGGCCATCTGGTATTAAAGTATTTAAGTATTTTTCTTGGTAATAATTATTGGTATCATTTTCTCCTGATTCAAAAACAGAAAAACATTTTGTTTTTACCATAAAATTTTGCAATCAACCTTTTATTTAGTTGATCAACATATTTTGCTAGCTAAGATATCTTTTTAATTCTATCATGCGATTTGCATAAATTACATTTTAATCTAATGATAGAAATATTTCTTTTATTAAATGCACCATTACCATTGGATTGATATCCAAATGTTCAGGATGAACCAAATCATCTTTTATTAGATGCTCTTCTTCGTTTCCGACAAGAAGCAAGAAGTCACTGAATACTGGATCTGTTCTTACTTTATATTTCTTGTCAGTTGAATCTTTTTCATTTGAGGCCAAAAGTATACCTTTGACAAGCTAGCTTTTACAGTCTCTGCTTTTGTCGATTTTGGAACTACCGGTAGTACTTGACAGAAATCACCTCCAAAACCATTAGTTTTCCACCAAACGGTTTATTAATATCCAATATATCTCTAGAACAACGGGCAATATTTCGATTGTTTGACACTTAGGCATAGGTGATTCATCCCGTATTATCAATTTTGTTTTCCTTATAAATTTAGGACAATTGCTCTACTTTGATATATTTTATGATGGTTATTTAAGTTTTTTGAAGATGGATATCAAATCTAAAGTGGGTGGCCTCACAATAAAATCGTTGTTGGTACACCACTTGCTACTATTGTTAATAGTGTCATGCCTCTTGATATGATATTTGCAAGTAATTCATGACCTAGAAATATTATTTTGATTCTGCCGAAGGCATCTACAAAGAATAATCCCGTTCTACCAGAGTCGACTCTTTATAATATAGTCTTGAAAGTTTGTTCTTGATTAGGATTTGGCTTTGATTGTGCTTCCCAAGACACTTGTATAGTATTTTAATTCTTAATAATATACTAACAATTTTACTTTGTGTTTTAACGCTCTTTTTATGGAATAAATTTATGTATCCTAAGACTTTTTTTTTAACTTGGATAAGAATTTTACTCATATGATGAATATAATAAATAATTGATTTGAATTCTCTTGCTAAATAATTAATTAAAATATTTAGTTATTTAGTTTTAACATAAAAAATAATTTATTCTATGTTGATTCAGATCTTAATATTAGTTCATCTCTTGTTTTGAATATTTAATCTTAATTATAATTTTATCCGCCATAAATTTTATTTTCAATGAGTAAAAGATTGATATGGCATTTCACTTTTATATTTGTAGAATCATTAGTGGTATTGACTCTTACCAACTATTTTTTTTCTTTCTCACACATTTATATTCTTAAATATTTTCTTAGTTATTGTTTAATAATTGGGTATTTCTTAATATTACACAAAAAATTGATAAAAAAAATATATTATTTGAGTAGGAAATTGGTTCAAATATAATATAAAAAATATATTATCGTGGAGATATTTTTTTTCTCAATTTCAACTCTTCATGCATCCATTTAATATTAATTTTATTTTTTCTTGGTATTGGAAATTATGGAGTGGTGAAGTATTGATAATACGAAGGATTCTTATGAAATTGATTTTAGTACACCTTCCTACATATTTTTAATAATAATTTAATAGACAAAATTTTATTAATTTTAAATATTCAAAATTAGAATAGAAGGTATTGTAGTCCAAAAAATAGGTTATTGCAGTTATGTCATTTCCTTATGAGTTCTTCCGCTTAATATTTTAGGGCTATTTTGGTATATTAATATTGTATTTATGCTTTTATAATAATATAGGCTCTCCTTTTTTCTAAATGGGTTTGGACAATATAATACACTCTCAAATTATTTTAGTAATAGGATATTATAATACGTTTTCAAATTAAATTAGTAATATGAATTTTTAAGAAGTATATCCTAAAAGTAATAGGATTACATGACAAATGATATTTACTTGTTCGATTTTATATGAATTAGATAGCCCAAAAATAATTATACTAAAAAGGTTCATAAAGGCAATCATGTAGGATTATTATGAGTAATAAGATTATAAGGCTAATATTTATAATGCCGGTTGCGTCCTTTTATTATGAATTATTATGCTTAACATTATAAGGTTATTTTTGTAGACCTACATTGTATTCATGCTTTTATAATAATTCAAACTGTTAATTAATTAATTCAAACTGTTAGTTGCTATTCATTGTCCTTGATAACTTAACAAACACAATTTATAAAAATATGAAACTAACTCAAATCATCTGCTAAAGTAATAAAGTGTAATTAATAGATGTTATCAACTTTTATAATACAACAATATTACCAATTTTGTATTGTTAAGTTAATGTTAGTTGTAGTACGACTGGAGTTTATTTACTTTCAATTTATCCACAAAATTGAATAAATTAGAGTACCGCAATCTCTTACTCTTCCAACCAGATATCAATTGAACATTTTGTTCGTAACATCTCTATTATAATATTTAATTTTCTTTTTAATGTGTGTATTATGGATTTGAAAAATATAATACATTCTCAAATTAAATTAGTAATAGGACATTATAATACGTTTTAAAATTAAATTACTAATAGGAATTTTTAAGAAGTATATCCTAAAAGTAATAAGATTACATGACTAAAGATATTTACTTGTTTAATTTTACATGAATTAGACATCCCGAAAGTAATTATATTAATAGGATTCCTAAAGGTAATCACATAGGATTCCTAACGTGTAGTATATGTCCTAAAACTAATAGGATTATAAGGTTAATATCTAATTCCAGTTATGTCCTTTTATTATGAGTTATTATGCTTAATATTATAAGGTTATTTTTGTAAACCGACATTGTATTCATGCTTTTATAATAATATAGATTGAAAACTTTTGTGATTTGGATGGAAATTGAAGTATTGTATTTCAAGCTGTTTTGGGATTGAAAATATATTTTTATCGCTTTTTAATTGCTAAAAGTGAGATTTTTCGGATGAAAAATTATTTGAAATACCTTGTGTGGGTTTGTGATGCGGCTGATGCAGCTTTTACATTTCTATTGCTTCAAATTGTAGAATCGATCTTCAGCTAGCAGCTGTTAGAAGTTTGGCCCAAGCGGCCAATTATATAAAATCTCTTCTTCTTCATTTTTTTTTTCGCAGTCGACAAGAAAATAATGTAACAACATTATATATATTCTTGACAAGACTAGAATAGAAAAATGATTCCATCTCTTCGTTTTTTTCCCCTTTAAGAAGTTTAGATTGTTTATTTTGTATTGTTCTCCTTACACAGTAGTATTTGAGTACATGGAAAAATATTGTTTTCGTCCAATATTTACACTAAACTATATAACAAATTAACTACTAGTATATCTTTTATGGATATAACAATGTATGTGAAACACCTTTGAGAATATTGTCACTGATTAGCTGTAATCCCATGTTTCACTCCATGAATACAGTCGAATGCACTCGAATACAATAACCGATTAGCTGGACTTCCCTAATTCACGCCTATTTTTGCTACTGTATTCATGAATACAATAGCTTAAATACATCAAATACATCTTATAACCACAGAAAAGGTATCTATATTCCGTAATATAACAAATGGTATCTATAGATGGCTAATTACTACTAAAAGATAGTGCTTTATGAAAATTTCTCTTAAAAGTTTGGTCCAAGCGGCCAATTATGTAAAATCTCTTCTTCTTCATTTTTTTTTTTTTTTTTTTTTGGTTTTTGCAGTCGACAAGAAGTTTAGATTGTTTATTTGTATTGTTATCCTTACACAGTAGTATTTGAGTACATCGAAAAATATTGTTTTCGTCCAATATTTACACTAAACTATATATCAAATTAACTACTAGTATATCTATTATGGATATAGCAATGTACGTGAAACACCTTTGAGAATATTGTCACTGACTCACTTAGGGACTAGAATATCTCTTAATTTGATTTGTGATCCTACTTTGCTAGGTTGGCAGTAATATATATCTCTTTGTTTGTATACAATTTAAAATATATATATATATATATATATATATATAAAGTTCATTAATGTTGTAATTCATTCATTCATTTTTTGTTGTATGATTGAAGATTGTGGCAACATCCTTATCTCCGTGGCCGCTTAAATTAACAACCACCTTCTCACCATCCTCTAGAGTAGGGCAAAGTCTGTCAAGAAATGCAAGTGCATGTGAAGCTTCTAAGGCTGGGAATATCCCTTCTAGCCTGCATAACCGTTTATATGCTGCAACCACAAAAATAAATAAACATATATAAATTAATTACTATTGCAAACTTGAATGGTTAAGATTCCTTCTTTCAAAAAGTAGTTGCACGGAGATATTTACCTTCTAAGGCTTGTTCATCTGTGACAATAGAAAACTCTGCACGCCCAATTTCTTTTAGAAAGCTAAGCTCTGGGCTAACACCTGGGTACTCTAATCTGCATATACAAAGAAATATTGCATTATTAAATTTGGAAGGTAACATTGAATAATATTTTACAACAAGGATAAGTCCTAGGTATATGCTCCATACCACCGTAGGATATGGTGGGACGGATGAGATTCCTCCCTCCTTAACTAGAGGTGTTGGGTTCCCTCGAAGTGGAGAAATTTCTTATAGGGAGTGCTTTCCCTATGCTAGTGGCGGAGTCATGATTCTCACCAACGGGAGTCAAAATATGAAAAATAAACATGCAAGAAGGCAAAGAGGAGTCAAAATATGAAAAATAAACATACAAGAAGGCAAAGGGGAGTCAACACACACACATATATATTTCTGTACTTGAGATGAAAATGACATTGTATATAATTGAGCTGTCTTGATTAAAAGAATCCGTAGGCTTGAAATTAAATTGAAAACTTACCCCACACCTATTGAGTGTGGTTCAATAATTTGTCCTTCCTCATCCTGTAATAGATAGGTCATGGCTCCATGGTACACTCCAACTTGACCTCTAGCCAAAGTTGCTGAGTGTTTACCTGAATCAAGACCTACCCCACCAGCCTCAACTCCTATTACCCTCACATCTTCATCTTCAATAAATTCATGAAACAAACCCATTGCATTAGAGCCAGTACCAACACAAGCCACCAACACATCTGGTTTGCCACCCCATTTTTCCATGGCTTGTTTCCTCGTTTCTTTTCCAATCACTGATTGGAATTCACGAACCATGGTTGGACATGGGTGTGGTCCTATCGCTGCACCTGATAAGAAATAGCTTGTCTCCAAGTTGTTAACCCAATGTCGAATGCCTTCTGACACTGCATCTTTAAAACTTCCTTTAACAGATTTGACCTGCATCAATATTCAAACATGTTAGGGGTCTGAGTAATTTACACATAATTTAGGTCTGGATATATGCCACGACCCATACAGATGGCTAATATCGTGTGATATAGCCCATGCCATCTGCATGGATCCAGGCGTCCGGACTTGAATCGCCTAAAATATTGTCGGTCCATAATAAACGACCCGAGGAACATTAATCATCGCCTCGCCATGATCGTTCCTCATGTCTTTTAAATATTTTAATTTATAAATTATTGTGACTTATAGTAATATTTTAACGTAGTTTTCAAATATGTAAATTTTATTTTTAAAAACTTAAAGATACTACGTCCAGATACCAGGTCAAAATAAGAAGTTTAAATCTCGAAATTTATGAAGTGTCACATAAATTGGGACAGAGTAAACAGTAGATGAGTTCACTAATGTCAATGTGACAAATAATTTTAAGTAAATATTACTATTAAAGAAGAAGTACCTTTGCACCAAGATGCTTCATCAAGAGTAGATTAGAAGGTTGTCTCTCCGTATCTAAGCTTCCCATGAATACAGTACACTCCAATGAGAGTTTTGCACAGGCAGCCGCCGTCGCGACGCCGTGCTGGCCAGCACCGGTGGCTGCTATTATATTCTTACAGTCCATTCGCTTAGCTAACATTGTTTGTGCAATAGCGTTGTTGATCTTATGTGCTCCAACATGGTTCAGATCTTCTCTTTTTAGATAGATGTCTGGCCCTTTTCCCCCATTTCTGCTCTTATAGTAACCTGTTAGTCTCTCAGCTAAGTATAAAGGAGTTTCACGGCCTACGTAGTCCCTTAGTGCAACTCCAAGCTCCATCTGCATAAAATTTATATGTTTTTTTATTTTTTTTTTTTGCGCAAACACACGAACATGCCAAGGGGATTCAACATCAACTATCTATACAAAAATATATACAGTTATACGTACAAGTAAGGGAATTTAAGAAAAACCTGAAACTGAGGGTCATGCAAAGTAGAGTTGAATTTGTTGCTCCCAAACGCACACGCAAGTATACGTGGTCGACAAGTAATATAGGATTGTAAGTCCAGATATCATACCCACAGGGACTTGTGATTAACTATCAACTAAATTAAACCAAACAATTAATCTATTCAAGCGAATCCTAACGTATGCATATTTAACTAAAATTAAACTAGAGTAACAAATTAAGAGATCAAAGAAAACAAGTTAGCGAATTATAGAGACGAATTCAATATGTGTGAATATTCTAGAGCTATGGGTTAGCTAACAATCCCGTTGAGTTTTCCACTTAAATCGTCAAATTAATTTATCTGGTTTATTGGTTGACAGGGTTAATATTGCTTGTAGCCTTCTCCCGAAGTACAACTCTCCTATTCAAGCTAACCTAACGCCTATATTCCTATGGAATTAGGATTAACAAGAACGCATTTATAATTCCCGTAAAAAAAACCAAGCAAGGCGATTAGGTATATTCCTATCCTAACCGCAAATCCGCTCCCCCTAAGAGTTAAGATCTTGCTCTACTCAATCTTATATGCAATCTAGAATTCCCTCTTCCGAGTTCAATCCTAGATTCGTAGATAGTATTCAATTGGTGATCAAGCAATCAAATAATTAAGCGCAAGATTGAATAAATAAACCAATATGATAAAATAGTAAGAACAATTCAAGCTTCAAACTACAACATTCATGTAGCACCCAAAACTCTAGAACTAATAAACTATAAAATTAAAGGAAGAGAAGAGAAGAAAAACTAGTTAGAAGCCTCCTCCAAGCGTGGTGTGTGTTCCTCCACGTGAAACTCCCTTCAAAGTATGTTAGATCCCTCCAAATTAGGTTTAGGACTCCTTATATACGAGTTGAAACTGTGTAGGACCGGAATAATATTATCCCGAACGAAATAAGAAAACTCCCGCCACACAGCGTCCAGGCCAGCGCCTAGCGCTGGTCCTGGCGTTGGAAGCAGTACGCTTTTTTATTTTACGTTGCTTTGTCAAATTTGCTTTCAATTGTAACTTCCTCTTTTTTGAATTGTAAAATTCCTTGGTTGTCTCCGCGGTTGGGGGGGGGGGGTCGGGGGGGGGGGGGGGGGGGGGGGGACAAACCCCAAAGGGTGTCCCCCTATTTTTTATTATTTTAATTTTCTTTCTTTTTCTTCCGTGTTTTATCTAATTTTGCTCCAAATCTCTTCATCTTCATATCGCTTTATTTCGACACAATTAAAATATAATATTAAGCACAAAATAATATAACTAATACTCAAAAGACGATTAAAAGTAATAGAATGTGAGGTAACAATGAGTAAATATATGCATTTTTGGCCGAACATCAACACCCCACACTTAGACTCTTGCTCGTCCTCGAGTAAGCATTAGAACCACTTTAATAAATCAAGCCTAGAAACACCACCACTTCGGTAGATACTAACAATTAGGCCCAATAGCAACTCAAACCATCAGATATACACTTCCTCATCATCGTGCAAGATATACAAGTTACAAACAAATAACAAGCTTCTAACCTCCTAACCCCAGAGAGAGACTCTAACTCACCAAATTTAATCTCGCTCACCTATTCTGTCAAATAAAGCTAATAACATCACCTATCTATCATGAAACAAGTGCCCTCACAAGAATAAATAGTCCATACTCTCAAATCAAAGAATGAATATAATTTAAGGACTTTGCATCAAAGAACAACTCTCGCACTCACAAAGAAATTCACATGTATGCACAAAGAACCATAGGCTTGCCCATTATGTACATCTCTACTAATTAAGTATGCTCTTATAGAATCAAATAGGACTTTAGCGGGTTGTAATGTTGGCTAAGGGACGGGTAGGGGAATTGTATAATAGTGACTTACTCTTCCCTAAGCACTTTGCACTTTTAGACTTCATCACCCATTATTTTCTACTCTTCACTTATTTTTCAGCCCTCTCTTCATCTATTGTTTCACAAGTATTTTCTCATATCAAGAACATTTCATTTTATTTTTTTCGAAGCAAGTTTTTTTTCTCATTCACTTTTTTTTCTTCATATAACATTCTTTTCAAGAAGGCCTTTTCATCACCTTTCAGCTATCATTGGTCACCATTTTTCACTTAATCATCCCTTTTTTCAAATTTATTACTAATTAATATCACAGTCTAAGCAACAATGCTCAAGGAAGCATGGTGCAAAAATTAGGGATTCAACAAGAGGATCAAGGCAAAAATACGGCTTCCAACCAAAAGGCTACAGGCTCAAAGGGCTAACTAATGGTACAATATCTGAAAAGGCTAAAATTCACAAGACATATCAAAGAAAGCCTATTATCATCTTCTAAGCAGAGCAACACTTTTATTTCGCTTCAATAACATGCAGGGCAAGTTCTAGACTAAGATGCAAAACATGGAATATATGTAAGAAATCCTCATCCCACATGGCACAAGTATCAATCAAGACGGATCAATTCCACTCTAAGACAGACATGATCATAGCGAACAACAAAATAAGAATAAGCTATATACAGAGTCACAACCCTGAGCTTAGGTATCAGAAAGTCTGATATTTTATTCATTACTTAAGCACTCAGAGGAAAGTACTACTCAAGCTTAGGCCTAAATATGCTAGTATCAAACAACTCACTAAAATTTTTCTTCTCCCTCTTTTTCTACTCCTAAAATAAAGAAAAAAAATAATCTAATCCTAAAAAATAAAAATAAAAATTACTCGGTTCAAGTTACATCCCTTGGAAAAGAAGCGATGCACAAAGAAAAACCAAGAGGGATTATTATCTAACTAAAACTAACTAGAAAGAAAAAAAATATTTTTTTTTTTTAATTGTTGGACTTTATCCCTCAAGAAAGCTGTCCACAAAATCCATCATCAGGAAAAGTCCCAATTTTTTGATTTTCTTTTCTATTTTTTAAAAACTACCACACTAACTAAGCTAAGATAGCACAGAAAATCACCCAGACAATCTCCTCACCCCACACTTAAAATTGTGCAATGTCCTCAATGCACACTGAAAATAACAAGAAGGTAAAAGAGACTCCCTGGTAGGCCAAAGGCCGGAGAATTAGCAGCTCACGGGATACTCAGACTTCTCCCAAGTATGATCCTTGTGCGGGTACCTCACACTTAGTTTCAACCACCTGCTCGCTTTTGCACTCTTCCAATGGCTTTGCCTTACCATGCTTATAATCCTAACAAAACAAAACACACTACCAAAAAATACACAACTAAAAAGACAAAGTTAAAAAAAAAATTGGGTTGCCTCCCAACAAGCGCTTGATTTAACGTCGCGGCACGACGCCGTCACTTTCACCACTTTTCCTTCCACTTTGAGGATATAAATTGCGCCCCCAATTTTGCATCAACTTTTGTATCACGTTCCTGGGGCGGTGGTGCAAAAATAAAGGAACCAAGTAATAGGTATCGCATCTTGCATTTCTTGGCCTTTAAGTGAGGAATGTCATTTTGTCTCCTTGGTGTGGCAAATTTCAGAATATGAATACTTTGTTCCTCATCTATTGAATCCTTCATATGCTCGAATGGATCAATTTCCATGTCACCAACCAAACACAATGTTGAAAAGTGTTTAGAATGAGGTCCAATACGCTCTAACTCCAAAATTGCATTGTTTTGACATCCTCAATTTTGCACTCTTCGTCAACCTTGGCATCATTAATAATATTTTGGTCTAATAATCGGTATTCTCGTTTTAGCTCCTCAATTTGGTCTAGAAGATCTTTTTCAACTTCATACAACTTATCACTAAATTGTTGGGCGTTACATGCATCAACCTTTGCACTCATATCTGCATCCAAGTTCCGCACAACCAAGCTAAACCTGTCAATTTCTTGTGCANACCGCGGACCGCATTGGCTTGACATCCTGAAATTGCAGCTCTCTGATTCTCCTCACTGCGGACCGCAGAGAATGGACTGCGGCCGCGTTGATCTCAGTGCGGACCGCACAAAATGGTAGTGCGCCCGCACTGCCTCTTGGCCTGAAAATCCACCTCTCTGAATCTCCCAGTGCGGACCGCACAGAATGTACTGCGGCCGCACTGGCATTATTTAGCCCGAGCTTTGTCTTGTCTTTGGCGCTTTGCTGCTTCCAAACACACACGCAAGTATACGTGGTCGACAAGTAATATAGAATTGTAAGTCCAGATATCATACCCACAGGGACTTGTGATTAACTATCAACTAAACTAAACCAAATAATTAATCTATTCAAGTGAATCCTAACGTATGCATATTTAACTAAAATTAAACTAGAGTAACAAATTAAGAGATCAAAGAAAACAAGTTAGCGAATTATAGAGACGAATTCAATATGTGTGAATATTCTAGAGCTGTGGGCTAGCTAACAATCCCGTTGAGTTTTCCACTTAAATCGACAAATTAATTTATCTGGTTTATTGGTTGACAGGGTTAATATTGCTCGTAGCCTTCTCCCGAAGTACAACTCTCCTATTCAAGCTAACCTAACGCCTATATTCTTATGGAATTAGGATTAACAAGAACGCATTTATAATTCCCGTATAATAATCAAGCAAGGCGATTAGGTATATTCCTATCCTAACCGCAAATCCGCTCCCCCTAAGAGTTAAGATCTTGCTCTACTCAATCTTATATGCAATCTAGAATTCCCTCTCCCGAGTTCAATCCTAGATTCATAGATAGTATTCAATTGGTGATCAAGCAATCGAATAATTAAGCGCAAGATTGAATAAATAAACCAATATGATTAAATAGTAAGAACAATTCAAGCTTCAAACTACAACGTTCATGTAGCACCCAAAACTCTAGAACTAATAAACTATAAAATTAAAGGAAGAGAAGAGAAGAAAAACTAGTTAGAAGCCTCTTCCAAGCGTGGTGTGTGTTCCTCCACGTGAAACTCCCTTTAAAGTATGTTAGATCCCTCCAAATTAGGTTTAGGACTCCTTATATACGAGTTGGAACCGTGTAGGGACAAAATAACATTGTCCCGGACGAAATAGGAAAACTCCTGCCACACAACGTCCAGGCCAGCGCCTAGCGCTGGTCCTGGCGCTGGAAGCAGTAGGCTTTTTTATTTTACGTTGCTTTGTCAAATTTGCTTTCAATTGTAACTTCCTCTTTTATGAATTGTAAAATTTCTTGGTTGTCTCCACTTGGGGGACAAAACCCAAAGGGTGTCTCCCTATTTTTTATTATTTTAATTTTCTTTCTTTTTCTTCCGTGTTTTATCTAATTTTGCTTCAAATCTCTTCATCTTTATATCTCTTTATTCCTACACAATTAAAATATAATATTAAGCATAAAATAATATAACTAATACTCAAAAGACGATTAAAAGTAATAGAATGTGAAGTAACAATAGATAAATATATGCATTTTTGGCCGAACATCAGAATTCGTAATCAAGCTTTGTTAAAGAAGATATAAGCGTCTCAGGTACGAACTTCCCACCGAAAATCCCAAACTTTTCATTGCTCAATCTCTTTTTTTCAGGGTAAACCAGCTTCCCTTGTAACTCTGTAACTTCGATGTTACATGCCATAATGTCTTTGTTAGGGATGTATGAGAAACAAGAATGAACTAGAACTTAAGGCTGCTAATATATTGAGAACTTCAATACGACGATAACAACAACATCCAGTGCAATCTCACAAAGTGGGGTCTGGGAGGGGTAGAGTGTCCGCAGGTAGAGAGGTTGTTTCCGTAGACCCCCGGCTCAAGGTAAAAGTAAAAGAAGCAGACACAACACATAGTAACATCAACAAGGTAAGGTAATAAGGTAACAAGGTGATAGAATAATCGAAGCGGAAGAATATTGAGAACTTCAAGAAAGATTTGAAATTGTTATGTATCTCACGTATGTTATTCTTGTTAAAGCAGTTTATAGGGAAGAGACCCATTGAACACAAACAAATATATATAGCAAGGTGACCAAGACTGTTGAAGTAGCAGAGGGTTGCCTGAAATTGTAGTTAAATAGCGTCGTCATTTTAGAAGATTGACTTATTCATTTGATGGCTAAGGCTATTAATTTAGACGGAAACCGACCACACTGGTAATACACAAGTCTCTTATACTTCTCGGTTATCTCACTTGTGCCATATATTGGAGTACTGCTCTATTCTCCGCCACCTTTGTTTACCCCAAAACAAAAAAAAAAAAATAGATTTATTGAGTCTAATATTTATTATTTAATAAATTATTTTAATATGTGTTATTGGATTTCGATAAATCTATGGCTGGTTCAATGCACCCGTCTCTATTTCTATGGAGCCGTCAATATTGGCTTGGGCCGGCCCAACCCAGCCTGAAATTTGATAAGGTTGGGCAAAGTTTTTTGGAGCCCATTCAAAAAATGAGGCTTTTTAAGCTCGGCCGAAGTAAGTCCGTGGCCCATGAGGCTTGACTGAGACTAGGCTGGACCGGCTCGTGGGCTTAATAAATATTCAATTGAAAATATAAAAAAATAGGGAACTAAAAATAAATAGAAGAATAGTCCAAATCTCAACTGGCAATATTTTTTAATGTGAATTCAACATATTTTTTGTTCTTAAAATTTTAGTGATTTTTAATGTTTAACTAATTAACATTGTGTATAATTATAGATTTAGTTAAAAATGAAGATGCCGAGACATTTTTGTTTCACAAAAAGGATTCAAATGTGCTTGATGATGATGATTTGTTGGTATTGGATATGCCATGAGCACCTTAAAAATATTTTTGGGTAGTCTATTTTGAGTATTGACTTTTAATGGATGAAATATTGTACTCCTTTTTTGTGTTTTATAATAATCTATTGGAACAATGTCAAAAGCTATTAAATTTTGCAGAAACTCTCTATCCAGCAAAAGAGTATATGTGTGTGTAAAGTCCCATTGAAACAGTGGGCCGGCCTAACCCGACCCGTCAAATACCGAAATACATGTGAACTGGGCTAGGCTGGGCCGGGCCAGCCGGTAATGACAGTTCTACGCCTCTCGTTTGGTAACTTAGAGAAAGAGAAGGGAAAACATAAAGTTTCTACTATCTTATTTGGTTTGGTGTAGCTCATAACAGAGGAAAAAAGAAATTAAAAAATATAGAATCCTTATTATCCCATAACTTTTTTTCTTTTTCTAAATAATTCTATCTACCTAGGCGGACCCAGAATTTTAACGTGATGAAAGCATTATTTTTTTTACTTGTGCCTCCTAAGAGTTTTCAGTGTTCATGTTTCCAAGTTATTTATTATAATTATTTTCAAGGTATGTACACTTTGATATATAAGATTGTTTTTGAAAGTTATAGGTCCAGTGAACTCTCATTGTTATAAGTAGGTCTGTCTCTGGTGGTGTGTTGTTTTGCTAAAAATTCATATTTTTGCATGTAATTTGCCTTGCATTATACCTCGATCTTGTTTATTATTTGTGTGAATATTTGTGACTCGAGCTTAATAATGTTATTTATATGTGTAGGAGTCAATTGGAAGTGATTTGAAAAGTTTTCATGCAAAGTGAAGTAAAAAAAAAAGGGAGAATCTAGATGAATTATAAGTTTGGTGCCTGGGTCCCGGACAGCGAAGCGAGGGTCACGTCGCGAGACCAGGACCGGAGCAGAAAATTTCAGCTTCTCCCATCCGAATTAGGAGAACTCCAATTCGCCCCAACAGACCCTAGCCGCTATAAATACATCAAGAAAACGTGCTTTCAAGGGAGGAGAACATACTTTGGACCAAGGGAGAGAACGGAGCCACCGTGACGGCTGGAATTCATCACATTCTATCTTTCTTCCATCAAACTTAGTAATCTTTACGTTTTTTTGGATGATTTTGTTGTTTTGCTACCATTTCTATGTGGAGCTAAACTTCGCGTTCTAGGGTTGTGGTTATCATGAATATTAATGTTTAGTAATTACATTATCGTTAATTTGAATTATCATCATTAGTTGTTTCTCTAATTCTGTGCATAATTGGTTAATTCTTTGGCCAGCAGTTGAGTTCTATTTACTATCTGTGTTATGCTTGGGAAAGCTCTGTTTAGATTAGAGTAGAATTAGAGAGAGCTTGTTTCTGAACCCGTGGCTCGGGGAAATATTTCGCGGTTAGGATAGGAATATACCTAACATTCTTGCTTAGTTGAATACCGTATTATATTCGTTCATGATAGATTCAATACCATATGAATATGGGATTGATATATTATGGATAGACAGATAGTATTGTGGGAACATGCTATGTATATAAACGATATGGTCAACTAGAAATCATAGATAAGTTGGATTAACATGTGTAATTACGAACCCAATAGGATTGATAAACTAACCACAGCCCTGGAATCTTCATCTCCTCTGAGTAAAATCCAAAACACATGTTGCATCCCTGATAAATTAGCTAATTACTTGTTCAATCTCTGCTAAAGTAGCTTGGTAGATAAACAACATTTTTTATTATCTTGGATAGTTAATTGATTTTAGTTTGCTTAGTTAACGATTAATATAAGTCTCTGTGGGTTCGACATCCGACTTTCGAATCACTTTATTACTTGACGGCCACGTATACTTGCGTGTACTTGGGGAACCAACATGTCACGAGCCAAAATTCACTAGTCGTGGTGGCGCCTAACCAGACCCACTAGGTAAGCCAACTAATAACAATTCATTCCAACAGTATTGAATAAACAATTAAACGTAGGAGTTATCAGAATCTTATACAACTCCCAAGGACTGGTAGTACAAATCATGAGCTTCTAAGAATAGAGTTTACAAAGCTAGTATGAAATAAATACATCTTCTATTTGAAAAGTACATAAACAGAGATTTATAAATCTACGGCTACCATGAACAAGAGGCAGCCACAACCGGAATGCAGGTACGCCTTCAAATCCAGCAACCATCGAACGCAATAACATCGACATTCGGGATCTGCACGCACTGTGCAGGAAGTACAGTATGAGTACAACCGACCCCATGTACTTAAAAAGTAACAAACTTAACCTTAGGTTAAAAGTAGTGATGAGCTGGAACATAGGTTGGGTCAAACACCAATATCCAATAATAGTTCATAACAATGTAAAGCATATAAATAAGGAAGTAACTCAGAGATAAAGTGTTCAGCTTTTTCACAGTTTTCCCAAAATAGTTTCGCCTTTCAAGAGTATCAGTGAAAACCCAAATTCTTTACCGAAAACGTCGTGAAATATGAGATAATTTGAATAATTATATTTTCTTTTCCAAAGCTCCATTTCACAATACATCAGATGTTTCATTTTCTTTCTAGATAGCAAGTGTGAGATACTTCTCTATGACCACATCAATGGGTGTAAAATGTTATGAATGACGTAATAGCGTACAACATGAGGAAAATGTGCCTCTATGCATGTATGCCATATATGCACGCCAATGTCATGTATCTCAGAGATGAATCATGTACTCACACTCTCAGAGTACTCAACCTCACTGTATCATACCTTTCACTCATCATAATTAACCACTCGGTACAGTATATGGCCCATACGACCCAGGGAAGATCTATCCCGGAATATATACATCACTGACTATAAGTCACCCAGTACCGAAGAAACAGGCCAATCCAGCCTCATGGAGAAGATCCATCTCCATACTAAGGGAAGATCCATCCCTGAATATAATCAACAGCGCTCACTAGAGGTGTGCAGATTCCGGAGGGGCTCCTTCAGCCCAAGCCCTATAACAAGCCAATCATGGCACAAATCTATCAGGCCCTCAACCTTGCTCAATAATCAATAAAACATGCTGCGGCGTGCAGCCCGATCCCATAACTGTCACTCATAATCAGGCTCTCAGCCTCACTCAGTCATCAATCTCTCCAGTCTCACCCACGTGCTCACTATGTCATGAAAACTGACCCGGAACAATGATATGATGTATCGATAAGTAACAATTGAGACTGAGATATGATATGAATGCATGAATGTGACAGAGTACAAAATATCAATAAATTCAATGAGATGACAGAAAGAAACGACCACTATGGATCCCAATAATATCAACATAAAGCCTAAACATGATATCTAGCATGATGTACAGCTCATTTATTTTATCACATGGTGAAAACACATATATCAATAAAACAAGGCCACTATATAGTGCCGTGGAAACAACAGAGTCACAACTCACAGGGTGCACGCCCACACGCCCGACACCTAGCATGTGAGTCACCTTAACACCGATCACATAATACATAATTCGGGGTTTCATACCCTCAGCACTAAGTTTAGAAGAGTTACTTATCGTAAACAAGCCAATTCCGATACCGAGCAAGCCAAGCGATGCTCGAAGAATGCCATCACGTGCTTCCAACCTCTGAACGGCTCGGAACTAATCAAAAACAACTCAAATACATCAAACAATGCTAAAGGAACCAATCCCAATCGAAAAAGGTTGAATCTTTAATCAAAAGCCCAAAATCGGCCAAAAAGCCCAACCCGAGCCCGCACCTTGGAACCCGACAAAACTCACAAAATCCATCAAATACTAGTTTCACTCAAATTCGACTACGAATCAGTGTTCTAAACTCAAAAATTCATATTAAGAAACATTAGGCCAAAACCCCCCATTTCTTCTTTAAAAATTCATCAACCAAAAGCTAAAATCGAAGATAGATTCACGAAATATAACAAAAACCGAACAGAGAACACTTACGCCAATTCGTATGCTGAAAATCGCCTCGAAAATTGCCAAATTCCGAGTTCCCCAACTCAAAATATGTGTTAAATGCACAAAACCCTCGTTTTAACACTTTTCTGCCTTGTGTTCTTATTCCAAAAGATCTCGAAACTCTCTTTTGATGCCTCCGGTGGATTCCTTGTGAAATTCTACTCAAGTTAGGCTCTTGAATCACTCCATTTGACCTTATATTGAAGCAGAT